GTGTCGTTCATCATGAATTCCTCCCAAAAGGCCAGACAGTCAACAAGGAATATTACCTAGGAGTTATGAAACGGTTACGCGAAGCTATCCGCAAAAAAAGACCTGCTTTGTGGGGCAACAACTCGTGGATTCTCCATGACGATAATGTGCCATCTCATAATGCGTTGATTATTCGTGAGTTTCTCGTCAAAAACAACACCAATACCATTCAACAACCGCCCAATTCACCTGATCTGGCACCATGTGACTTCTTCCTATTTGATCGACTCAAAAAACCATTACGAGGAACTCGTTTTGAGAGTGTGGAGGCAATAAAGCTAAAATCGCTGGAGGCACTAATGGCTATACCAAAAACCGACTTCCAGAAAAGCTTCGAGGGGTGGATCAAACGCTGGCACAAGTGCATCGCAGCCGACGGGGACTACCTTGAAGGGGACAACTTGAATTTTGAAGAATAAACATGTACTTTTCTTTTTATGAATAAATTCCTGTTATTTTTTTATCATGGTTAATAGTTCTTATTAATAGTTCTTATTAATAGTTCTTTGTTAATAACTATTAATAACAAACTATTGTGATATAACTGTAGGTATATATAACAATTAATACATAAATATATATATTGCTATTAATATATAAATGTTATTCTGATGTATCATGTGTGTTCTTTTTTATCTAATTTTACTTTATAAAAAAATTTTACTTTAAGAAAAGATTGCAGTAAAACATTAGAAAAATATTTTCTTACTGATTTGGCAAATCATTCATAACATTTGATAAAACGTTTACTGTCAAACAACACTATATTATAAATAGAGATTATTAATATTGAAGAATTGTTTAGTTAAATGTTTTAGTAATTGTAAGTAAAATTAATTAAATACTTACCTCAACAATTCTTTAATAGTAATAATCTTTATATGACATAGTTTCATTTGGCAGGAAACGTTTTTTCAAATGTTATAAAAGTGTTTTGCCAAATCATTAAGAAAACGTTTTTGTAACGTTTCAAAATCATTTTCTGCAAATATTACAAAAACGTTACTTTAACGTTTAATAAACATTTTTCTTAAATTTTTACAAAACATTTTTATAACATGTAAAACACTGTATGTTTAACGTTAAAAAAACTTTTTTAATGAAAAAAAGGGGACTTATTCCATTATTTTAACGTTTTTAAAAACGATTTAAAAATTGTTTTTTATATGTCTTTAAAAACATTTTTTAAACAAATTTTTGCTGCTTGAGAATGTAACAAAAGAGTATATCCTCTTTTCACTATGTTCTTGCCAACAACAGTTTTCAAAATATAATAACAGCAAGTTCCCAACAACTCATCGACAATAAACTTATATTATTTTTCTCAACTTATGAATAAAAATCATTGCTCATATATTGCTCATATATTGCTCACTTGTCATAAACATTGGCTACAACAATTGATTGATAAATAAAACTCAGCATATTGATACTGAATTGACAAAAACATTTTCGTTGCATTAAATAAAAACAACACAACAGCAATTGGCAAGCAACGTAATCTACAGGGTCCGCCACTTAAATCCGGACAAAAATTTTTTTCTCGAAAAAGTTGTTTATTACAGAAAATATGAAAAAACATAAATAGACTGCTTTATAGCTGGGTTAAGGGATCTTTTCTGAGACATTTTACTCAATGTATCCG